GTACATCATTCGCATGGTTTTATACAACATTTTATTCATAAAAACATGCTGAAAATGCATTTTTTTGATGAAGTAAAGCAGCTATTTCATAATTTTTTTCACTGGTCAGTTTTGAGATTTTGATTTATTTAGCTTCTATAACATTTTTCAGACAAGTGGAAAGAAAACATCCAAAATACACTTAAGTCTTTAATTGCACGTTATCAATCTGCGCCTGTAGATTTAATTTACAATACAGCCATTTTCTCAAAATGAGTTTGTTTCTTCACTTCAGCAGCACTTACAAACACCAAACTTAGCAGTTTTATTCCTATCTATATTTCCAATCACTGGGCGTACTTCTATTCCTCAGCTGCGCAGCATATACCAGACACGACCTCCCAAGTTGCTCTTTGCAGGAATAAATGTTTATTCACGGTCGGGAGCCCACTGGTCACAACAACCAAGATAGACTCCCTGAACAGAAAGATACATGTACATTTATACCTTGTAGTTGAGTAAAAATCAATGTCACTCAAGTCTTCTTCACTGTAATTGGTTACACTGATCTGAGCACTTTTTTGGGTAAGTATAGATTATTTAATCATATATGCAATGTCTTTGATCTGAGTATACTTACAGTAGTCTGCACTTTTCTGAACATTCTGTATTGAACATACCCTTTTGACTTCTTCTGAGGCCATTTCATAAAACATTTCATCACACAATATATATCTTTAAAGGCCGTTTTCTCGAAACAAGTTTTATTCCTCTCTATGTTCTAAAGGGTTTTACTGAGGGGTTTGTTCATATATCATTTGCATGGTTTTATTATTGCACTTTGTCTATTTGCATTTGTAGATTTCAATTACAATACGTATCTTTAAAGGCTGTTTTCTCAAAATTTGAGTTTGTTTCTCTATTTCAGCAGCACTTAAAAACTCCAAACTTAGCAGTTTTACTCCTATCTATATTCTGAAGGATTTTATAGAAGGGTTTGTTCATATATAATTCACCTGATTTTATACAACATTATATTCCTAAAAACATGGTAAAAAAAATGCGTTTTTTGGATGGACTAAAGCAGCTGGCATATGGACTGTACTTCTGCCATTCACAAGAGTGAGGGTTTAAAAACACGTAACAGGCCTGCCATGTTTTCATACCCATAATGCAGTGTGAAATGCACTTTTATAGTCAATTCAGATGCAGTATAAAGGCGCTTCTCCTCAGTGCGGTTAAACTGGGCAGTGGGCCGACATGAGGAAGAAAATGCCGTGGAGAAACGATTGTTCTGCTCATAAACGGAGCTGTGAAGGAGGTAAGAGTTTGTTCTCTCCTCTGATAGCATCATGTCTGCAGGGGACTCGTGAATAATCACGTCTGGCCAAAGAAAGAAACATCCAAAGTTCTCCGTAAGGTCATTTGTAATGTTTTGATTCGTGAAAGCATCTAAATTTCACAGCAGTGTTGTACTGAGAAGTGCAGCTTATGAAAATGCTCATTACAGTTTGGAGTGTGATTTATCTCGTTAAATTTTCCTTCATAATAGTCCATGACTGATGAGTTACTAGACCTCACTCGGACACAAACACGCTCGTTCTCCAGAGAAACTGGCTCTGTTTATGAGTTAGGATTCAGCAACAGCATTTCCCATGAATAAATATGCAGAACAATCATTGTTTTTTGGGGAAAAGCTCTCATGGCTATGAGTCAGATCTCCTGAAGGCCGTTGAGCTTTAAGTAATCCGAGTACATACTTTCAAAGACCACACCGAGCCGGAGTTGTCAATAATTGCTCAAAAGTCTGACACTTCATGACACTGAGGGTGAGAAAAGTACATTAGTGTTTGTCTAATTGGTGTTTGGCTGTCTGTAATGAACAGACTACTACTTATCACGCTTGCCTCAAGGTGAGATAAAGGAAAAGTAGGGGAGAGCAGTTTTTGACTTTCTCAGTTTGTGTAAATTTACTTGGGCTACAGAGTATTTCTTTTTTACACATTAATTGGTCTTGTTTCTAAGGATGCCATTTTCGCCACTGAAATTTACACGGAGTCTGACATTACTCCCCCCTCCCGGAAGGCGCGTCCTGCGCTGTAACAATTGGCTGGTGCAGGACTGGGACACGTGGAATACCTCCAGGGCGGATCAGGCAGTCCAGGGTGCCATGGTGGAGCAGGCAGACTAGGAAGCCATGGCGGAGCAGACAGTTCAGGAGGCTATGGCGGAGCAGACAGTTCAGGAGGCCATGGCAGAACAGGGAGCTCAAGGAGCCATGGCAGAGCAGGGAACTCAGGGGGCCTGACCTTGGCACTCGACCCGGCCTCCACGGACGGACCCCTACTACAAAAAAATCCTTGGGGAGAATATCGTCTTTAGAGGGCCTCCGTAGGCCTAACTCGGGAACTGTGGTCCCTCCTTGGCTGGACGTGGGAACTGGAGCCCATTCTGTGCTAGACTCGGGGACTGGAGCCCTCTCTGGGCTAAACCCGGGGACTGGAGCCCTCTATGGGCTAAACTCGGGGATTGGAGCCCTCTCTGGGCAAAGCTCGAGGACTGGAACCCTCTCGGGGCTAAACTCGGGAACTGGAGCCCTCTTTGGGCTGGATTCAGGGACTGGAACCCTCTCGGGGCTAAACTCGGGGACTGGAATTCTCTCTGGTCTAAACTCGGAGACTGGAGCCCTCTCTGGGCTAAACTCGGGAACAGGAGCCCTATTTGGGCTGGATTCGGGGACTGGAACCCTCTCTGGGCTAAACTTGGGGACAGGAGCACTCCGTGGGCTAAACTCAGGAACAGGAGCCCTCCGTGAGCTAACTCAGGAACTGGAGCCCTCTTTGGAGCGAGCTCTGGGGCTGGAGCCAACACTGGAGCGAGCCTAGGGACTAGAACCAATCGCCTTCTCCTTAGATTCCCCTTTAGGTTCGGGGTGAAAGGCGTGGTCGGCGGACTTGACAACGGAGTGGCCGGTGGGCTTGAGAGTGCCGCGGCCGGCAGGCTGGTTCTGGATCGGGGATGGACACTCTCCAGACACCGGAGGATCCCTTCCCTCCAGCTCAGTCCTGTGGTGTCTGGGAGGTCCAATAGCAACTGGCCCCGATCGAGAACAGAGAGTTGAGCGTGGCGTCGTCCAGCGCTGTTTTCGCTGCGATCTTGCAGAACTCCCACACATACTCCAGGAAGGGGAGATCTCTGTGAGCTAGGGCGGAAAAACGAGCAGCGATTTCCATGCCGCGGGAAGGGAAAACCGGGAAACAAAAAAACTTTCAAAAATGGAAAAAACAAATGAGGAGAAGGGGCGCCGCTTACTGTTTTGGGTCCATTATTCTGTCACGATGCACTACTGTGCGAAGCAAGGAACGCGGAGACGAAGAGTACATCAACAAGGAGACTTTAATTACATCCAGGGAACCAGGAAAACATACGTAGCAGGGGAGGTTGACATATACAATACCAGAGCGCAAACTAGGAATGGGAAACACTTTAAATACACAGGACATGACGAGGGGAAGACGAGAAACACCTGGGATCAATAAACACAATAGGAACAGGAAAAGGAAGAACCAAATATGGGCAATGAAACACATGGGGAGCAAAACACACACAAAACACGGAACAGAGTCTGACAACTACAAAAGAAAAAAAAAATATGTCTCTCCTTTTCATAAAATATTTAATAATGCAAATGTGAACATTAATGGTTCTGTTAAGACTTGTATGTTGTTTGAGCTGTAAAGCTGTTTAAATCATATTTTTTTATAGTTTTATATAGTATTTTAACCAATATATTAACCCTATAAAGCCTTCTGTATCATATTTGATATGCAAATTAAGGCCTCTAAATGATTAACATGATCAAAAGTTTGTTCAAAACCTGTTTCACTGCATGTCTTCTGTCGTCTGATTGATAGTTTCGAGTTTTTTATCCAGTCAAAGTTATTTTAGTGTAATTGTAGAAATGTCCAGCTTCAGCTGGAGCTTCTCGTGTCAAATCTTGACTGATTTCTATCAAGTAAAGGTCAGAATAACTGCAGTAATATCTCCAGATGAACTCTTCCTGGACTGAAGCAGCTCAGCTTTACTTGATTCTCCATCAATCATGTTTTAGAGTCTCAAATCTGATCCTCAGGATCTTTTGAGGAGCGTTTGTTTCCAGAAGCTTTACTTTCACTGTTCCTCAGCGGAGGAATGATCTTCACAAGCCTCCAGAACATCTCACATCTTCTGAGGAGCCTTTATTTCTTCAGCTCTCAATCACTGCATTATATGTTTGGAGCATTTCAATCTCATCATATTATTGGAGATATAGAGCGGCGACTGATATTTAGATCATTTTATGTCAGTACCTGCCATACTGTTATAAAGATCTCATTGATTTACATCACAAGCAGCAGAATTTAAACATATAAATATCAGCATCTGCAGCAAATTGCATATTTTTGCTCAGTTTGAGTCTCTGTTAAGTTTTTTCTTTCTTTCTTTTTTGTACATATTCTCACAGTATCATAATATTTGAGCCACAAAAGCCAGATGGATCAAATATGATACTCAACAAAATGCAAACACATGCAAACATTATTTAAAGTTTCAAAAAACTCTCTTCTCTGACTGTTATTTCATAGGGTTAAGAAACATGATAGGTATATGAAAATGTTCTTGGCCAAAGCTAAGAAAATCTAACTGTTCACAATGAGAAAACGAGGCGATGTGAAGTCATGTTGATGAACAGAACGATAACGCAGTGCTGTAGAAGCTCACCGCCGCACTTTGAAGGTAATGACTGATGTTTTACACAAGACAAATGGCTGTGGGATCATCATGCAACATCGAGTGCGTTCGCCACTCTTCACGCTCCTTAAAAGCCTGGTTAAAACACTTGTAAATATTCAATACCTGCCTATCTCCATCAAGACCTGGATTTCTCCTGCAGCCTAATGCAATTCAATGACCTACATTCTTGCGCAGAGTTGCCTTGGAAACAAAGTTCTCCAGGCTGTTTTTTTCCTCTGTTACCGGAGATACGGCAGATCAATCGAGCGAATCCTCCGAGGCAGAGACAGGAAACGCTCCACCGCACAATCTCCACTGAGAAAAGCCACTAGTGTCCCAGTTAGTACTTGAATACACAATTATTCCTCAGTTGCTGCATGGTGCATTGAACTCGGACTCTTACGGCATTAGACTTATCGATCAACGGCGGCATTTACAAGCACTGCAGAAATTTTAGCACACGTATCGATACCACCGTTCCTACCATCCTGCGATGTGATATACTCTTTTATGTAATTATGCATGCAGTTTTTCAGTATGAACTTATATTAATCAAGAGACTACTGGGGATATTTGTACTTCAAAATATGCATATTTTTTCACACCGCAGGAGCATTTAAAATTAAAAGCTGTCATCTAATGAAAGCCATATGGTGATAAACTTTTTCCTATTTTTCTTATCTGTATAAATTGAAAATATTAATAGAAGTAGTTAACGAACATGAGATAAAAATAAAATAAAATGAACTCAATGAGAAAATTATTTTATTATACACTTTTGTATACTAACTTTTAGAAACTTCTGTAGTGTACAAAAGTTTGGGGCTGGTATGATTTTTTTTTTATTTTCAATGATTAATTAATGATGAAAAATACAGTAAAAACAGTAAAATTGTGAAATATTATTACAACTTAAAATAGCTGTTTTCTATGTTAATCTCTGTTCAAATTGTATTTATTTCTGTGATGTGCAGCTGAATTTTCAGCATCATTACGCCAGTCTTCAGTGTCACATGATCTTCAGAAATCAGTATAATATGCTGATCTGCTGCTCGAGAAACATTTCTGATTATTAGCAATGTTGAAAACAGTTGTGCTGCACAATATTTTTGTGGAAACTGTGATGCATTTTATTTTTCAGGCTTCACAGATGGACAGAAAGTTCAAAAGAACAGCATTTATTTGAAATAGAAATCTTTTGTAACATTATAAATGTTTTACTGTCACTTTTGATCAATTTAATCCTCACTGAATAAAAGTATTAATTTCTTAAAAAGAAAAAACATGTTTGAATGTATTGTAAGTGATTTGTTCTACACGTCATTTGCAAAACAGATTTAATGTCGTGTAATATTGACAATTTGACTCACTGATGCATTTTATTTGCTTAAAAGTCTTAAAAGTGATATTAATTATTAACCACGTGTCATGCATAGTGTGTTATGGATATGAGACTTATAGGTTTCTGTACTGGAGTTGTAAGTCAAACAGTGATTTCTGCTTTTCCAAGTACGACGTTGCAAATGATGACTTTCTGAATTGAATAGAGTGAAGCTTATTTTTTCTACAGGGTCAGATGGACACGTCAACAGATCAATATGAGTTCAGAAATCATTTTCACGGCTTAATTTCTCGCGGTCGCTGGAATGTCAGTTTTGTGAGGGATGTTATACTGAAGGTCAGATATTGTCAAGGGTTCAGCAGGTCAAAACATCTGAAGCTATTTAATAATGAACTTTCATAGTGATATTTCTATACTTGCCAACAGATTTAAAAAATGTAACTTGTTGATGCTGAGCAGCAAACTTCCTAGTAGAAACAGTAAATCATGTCTGGCACCACACAATTGGTTTTTAGGTTTATTTTTTCAAATCTATTCTATTAACTATATTTTAAAAGTAACACTATTGGCACAGGTTTATTATAGTTAACTAAAACTAAAACCATTAAAAAAATCAAAATAAAATAAATGCTTAAAATATAAAAAACTTTTCATTTAGTTTAACTAAGTGTACTAAAATAACAGAAACTAAAATAAAAATAAACAACTATACAGACATAGACATAATTAATACAATTTACAAAACACAACAGAATTACTGAAATATTGAAATTAAAATTAAAATGGAAAATACAATTCAATTTTTTTATCTAGTTACTAAGAGAACACTGATCTACTGATTAATTTTGTAAGATTTAGATTTTTTTAATGACCATAGAGTGTTGCTTTATTTTATATATCACCAGCAAAATCATCAGGGTTAGTATAGTTATGCATAAGGTTAGTATAGTGTAACTAAAACTAATATAGTTAACTAAAACCATGAAAATAAATACATTTTAAAAAAGGTTTTGGGAAAAAATGCATGTGATATATAATAGATTTAATTTAAAATAAAATAAAATATTTAAAACTTATTTTAGATTGTTGCCATTTCTGTCTTTAACTTGATGTATTGAAAACTAAAAATCTTAAATAAAAATTATATGAACATATTTAAAAAAATTAAAATAAAAAACAACAGCAAAATTACTAAAACCTTCAAATTAATTTTAAAACAGAATATACAAAAATTATATATATATATATACAAAAACGAATTCAAATATATTAAAAAAAATCTCAATACTAAGACAGCACTGATTTGGCAATTAATTTTATAAAATGTCTTTCTAACGACCATAGCGTGCCAGCAAAATCCTCATGAATATATCATGAATTTAATATAATTTAATAAAGCTTAATCTAGTGGATTAGATTCTATTAAAACTACTCTTGACATATTGCAGTCAATGTCGTGTTGCTTTCATATATGAGGCTTACAGAACAAAACCAATTAACCAAAGAGACTTCATAACACTTGACAGTGTTTTTCATCTTATTATATTACAACCTGCACCATAAAATCCCAAACGTGTCATATGAGCTCAAGCACGGCGAGAGCTCGGATCGAGAACCACTCACGAAATGATGGAGAGTTACAGAGCGGAGGACAGCAGATGAATAAATCATTGGATAAACGTTACGAAATGAGCAGGACGCCACGAAAAACACTGCAAAGATGGAGAGATTACAGAGAGAAGGGCGCCTGACATGGCAGATGGTGGGAGCATTTTTCTGTTTTATTCTCCACCCTTTAAATTCAGACCAGAATCTCTGAGTGCAGAAATCAATACGCCTAAACAGGGATGAAAGAGCATCCAGACCTGACCCATGTAGATCAAACGCTGCTTTATTCCTGCGCGTCCCTTCAGCTTTATTGCCACAATTTATAGGACAATTAGGTTGCTCCTACAAGCGTCTAATTTTCCGCAGTGTTACTTCAGCTCAAAATTGGTCCGGAGCGCACAAAGCTATTACTCTGAGATTTCCACGGCCCTCGATTATGAGGAATCAGAGAGAGGAACATCTCTATCTGCATTGTGTTGTTGAGAGTCCAGTAAGAAATACATGGCAGAGATCAAGGATTGGGGCTGATTTTCTGAAGCTTGTTTCTATTGGACTCGCAGGAAAAGGTGAGGAAAAGCTTGAATTGGGTGCAGGAGGATTGAGAGGGTCAGGAACCTCGGCGCACGCTCCTGCTTTCGGATGAAAAGCTTACGTTAATGCATGCTCTTATTGTGAATGATTGAAGAGTGCATGTTTTTCTCAAGTGAAGTCTTCTGATTTTTTCATCCAGTGGTAATTGGGTTGTTTCTGAAAAGAGTTTCATTGCCAGCTTTTGTCATCAATGCCAATTTTTAACCGTCTAATCGGTTCAGCATGGATAAAATTTAATTCTGCCTCACATCGTTTGATTTTTAAATATTCCATTTCACTTGGAAATACGTCACACTGAGAAAATAAGAGCCTCTGTTTGTTAAGATATAAATGTATGGTTTATTTCTTTGTAGACTGTATTTATTTATTCTTTTACTTACTTACTTAGACATCTCTAAATGGTTATTTATAACAGATTAATTCTCCATTGTTGAAATTGAGATACTATTAGTTTTATTAATAATTTGAATTAGATTTATTTTTGTATTTTTTATTTTAATTTTAGTTAACATTTTAGTAGGGCTGGACAAGAATATTCGATATTCTTCCCTACATTTGAGTAATTTTGTTGTGTGTTTTTGTCATTTATATTAGTGTTCTTTTTTTATTATTGGATTATATATTTTTGAAAATGAGAAATGTTGCCTTGGAAACCAACTAAAATTAAATTAAAAATAAAAGGGTTTTTATATTTTGTTTTATTTCAGTTAACATTTATTTAATTTCAAGTAATGATTTTTTTTAATGGTTTTAGTTTTAGTTTAATTAACAAAAATAATCCCGGATTGAAAACAAGTTTTATTAATACTATTTAATCATATTACATAATAAAAAATGTAATAAACCTTCACAACATTACTTGAGCCTTGATGAGCAGAAGTGACTTCTTTCAAAAGCAAGTTTTACAAAATAAGAAATTTGTAAAAATTCTAAATAATATGAATAATAGCTAGATAGATAGATTTACAGAGAGAACAATCAGAAATGAAAGACATTGTAACTTTGTATTTTGATGGAAATGTAAAGAAAGATCTCTAATTATTTTATAATAATAAAAAAATATTATTGTTATTAATTGTTATATTATATTATATTATAAACATATAATATTATATTTTAAAATCATAAAATTGTATAGCTCACAAATAAGAATTATTATAAAAATTCTTACTGACTCCAGACTTTTGAACAGTAGTGCACATTGGGTTTTTTTGTTTCTTTGTTTGTTAGTTTTTTTCCTTTGTATACTTAAATTTAATAAATAAGTATTATTCGTAAAATATAATTTTATATCATTATTAATAAATATGATTATATATTTTTTATGTAATTTTAACATCACACTTCATGCAGGTGTTTTATCCAAAGTGACATTATATTTTATTTTATTTTATTTTATTTTATTTTATTTTATTTTATTTTATTTTATTTTATTTTATTTTATTTTATTTTATTTTATTTTATTTTTTATTTTTTTTATTTTATTTTATTTTATTTTATTTTAACACTTCATGCTGGTGTTTTATCCAAAGTGACTTTTTTACTTTACTTTATTTGACCATGTAAATTTTTCTAGTAATTTTTTTTTTATTTGTTTGTTTTTTGTTTTTAATGAGAACATATATTAACATTGTTTCACGCTTCACGCAGGTCACCAAATCCTATGTGATGGAGGGTCAGGGCGTGACTCTGAAATGCAAGGCGATGGGCGACCCCGATCCCACCATTCACTGGCGCTTTCCCGACGGCAAACTGGTGCACAACAACTCTCGCACGATCCTGTATGACAACGGCACGCTGGACATCCTGATCACCACGCTGAAGGACAGCGGCGCCTTCAACTGCGTGGCCTCCAACGCGGCCGGCATCGCCACCGCAGCCGTGGAGGTCAACATGATCCCACTGCCGCTCTTCGTCAACAACACGGGTCACATGAGGGAGGCCGATCCGGGGCTCTCCGACATCACCACATCCACCAAATCTGGCAGCAACGACACCAAACCGCAGAACAAGAGGGTTGTAGTGGAAAACCTGACCGCAAACTCAGCTGTCATCCACTGGCCGTCCGAACGCCACATTCCCGGGATCAGAATGTACCAGATCCAGTACAACAGCACCGTCGACGACACCCTGGTGTACAGGTAAAAAACTCTTCTTTTATGAGACATAAAGGTGGACTTGACTAATGAAATAGACGGCTTCTGAGATCCCCTGTTGTGCCTTTAACTGAAGCACTTAACCTCAGCTCACTCCAGACGATGTCTAATCTGTCTGCTGTAAATCATTCTGGATTAAAAGCCACTCGTGAATCTCTGTTAACCAGCTTTCCAGGCAAAATTACATTGAGTTAGACAGAACAGAGATACACAGAACAGTCTCAAATTTCAGATGTTCTAACATTTATTCTTCATAGAAGTGAATTCAATTAAAATAATTAATTGTAAAAAATAATAAAATAGTCATTATTATTATTATTATTATTATTATTATTAACATCTGTATAATTATAGTTAAGTATATATTTAAATATTTTTAGCTCCCAAATAATTATAAAGTCAATACAAACTATTACTATGGTTATTTGTATATTTAACTGCTTTTATATATATATATATATATATATGATATAGCTACATATACATATAGCTTTTAATATATTTTATAATTATATAGCTCACAATTGTTATAGCTAATTATTTATATAGTCAATCATAATCTATTATCTGTTATTATCAAATAATAATTATAAAGTCAAATTAAGAAAATATTATTATTGTTATTATTATTTGAATTATATATTTGTCTGCTTTATCAATCGTTTGGACTTGTTCCACTGGTTTTATAATTACATAATTCTAATTAAATATAATTTTAATTATTGTTATTTTTTTATATTTATCTGCTTTATTTAAAAAAGTTTATAAAATTATAAAAATATATATAGTTCTCTTTTTATCAGTTTTTCTTCTCTGTTTTTCTAAGAAATATTTTTGTGTTCGCAGATCAGTATCAGTGAATTGAATGAACCACAAAGGCCTTCAATAGACTGAAAGGCGACACAGAGTAAAACTGGAGGAATTTACAACATAAATTTACAACTGAATTATTGATAACCGCAAAGACTCTGTCAGACTCGGTCAGACGCAGTAAATGTTAAAAACCCAGACTGTGTTGAGATTGAACAGCTCAGCTCTATCCTGATAGATAGATGGATGGATGGATAGATAGATTTACAGTGTGACTGAGGATGGCTGATCTTCAGTGATGTTCAGTACAGACCTGCGCTCAGATAATGCAGTGTAACGTCTGCGACGCCGTGCAGCTAGCGAGCCATAAAACACTTCTGACATTTATTGGCCTCGCTGCAGGACACGAGCGCATTTAAACACACACCTTCATCTCAGCAAACACACACAGCGGCCATCATTACACGTGACAAAGCTTCAAATTAAAACACCTTTTGCCCTTTCAGTAAAAATGGGGAAACACTGGGAATGTGAATGAGGTGCAAACGAGCGACTGCTGATGACTGCTTTCAAGGACAAACAGTCGCTTTCAGAAAGAGTCACGAAACTGCCTCGCTTTATTGCAGCGCGTTTAGGTTGAGTCGAGGTTGAAGTGGGCGATTCGTCTCCAGTCACGAGAAATAAAGAGAAACGTCAGACCTCTGTTTGCTTCCGTGAATGAAATCAGCTACAGAGATCTGCACTGGACTGAAGGGCGACACACACACACTCGAATCACACATTTACATAATAACAGGTGCTTTAAAGATCAGCTGAATTATTGATAACCCCAAAGACTCTCGGAAAAGAGCCAAACTTTATCTAACAGTGTGACGGAGATCTCGCCGTGAGGTTTGAAGGTCAGACGCTGTCCGTGTTAAAAGCCCAGACTGAGCTGATATCGAACAGGTCAGTAAATTAGATGAGACTAGCGCTCCTGGGTAAATCTCACATTTTACCCACTTAACAATGAGAAATTGTGTTTTGCAAATCAAAATGATACCTAATTTTGAGTGTTTTTATGACATTATTTTCAAGACGATTAAACACTTTTTACCCACAGATTCTCATTACTCTAATGTCCGTCTCATTATGGCAATACAGTAATGGAAATAATCCTATTTGGACACGACTTTTTAAAAAGTAAATAAATATGTTTTAATAAAACAAATACTGTCATGATTTATATTTATAATTGTACTTTACAGTTTAAAACCCTCATCCGTCCCTCGGGTCATTTTGACCCGAAACTCATTTTTAAAGATTTTTTAAAAATCGAGCGTTGATCGTTATGGTATGAGACTTTGTTACTTTTGTCACACTTGAACCGGGAATACAGGGGGGGAAAAAGTCGAGCAGTTTAAGTGGGTGTTATATAAAAAGTGTTAAAAGTGTCCCTCGCGGGCCATTTTGACCCGCCACTGGAAAAGCATGGAATTTACGAAATTCTTTTTATTTTTTTTTATTTGTCACACTTTAGTATGGAGCACACACAAAAATTTGAGATTCGAGGATTCTGTGTGGGTTTGATAAAAAAAGTAACAAAAGTGTCCCTTGCGGGTCATTTTGACCTGACCATAGGAATGAATGGAATGTCCGGGAAAAAAAACAGCATTTTTTTGTTTATTTGATTTTTTTGACTATACAAAATCTGACACAATCCAGAATAGATTCATACCTAAACAAAAGGCTGAGATTGCAGAAAATGTCCCCAATGCACAAAAAACTCACATACCCACACACACAGGCATACACAGACACACACATGGCACACACACTCCCATTGAAACGCATTATAGCATGTTTGATGTTTCTGCTGGGAAATGACTGACATTTAGATTTTTTTTTTACGTAACACAGTTAAATTTGAGTGATGGGGTGGAGACCAATGAGTTTATATCATATCTATATTTTAAAATGTATCTTTTATATTTATGACATATTTATGAAACTATGAATATGCATGTTTGGATTAAAATTCTGTATAAATTTACTTTTCTTTTTTTTAACAAAATAAATGCAGGATCCCAAATGACGCACTATACACTATGTACTTATGCACTATGTACTCGACCATGTAGTGTATGAATTATATAAGGTTATTTTGTCATTCATAAACGGAGTCTGATAGCCCTTCCCCCTTCACTACATAATTAGAGCTGTTACAGTTGAGTGCATGAAGTGTCCAACATTCCACACTTCGTTTTTTCAGTTATTTAAGTGCATCATCCGGGTATTTGAAGTGCACTTTTTCTTGCACTACTCACACTATTTATACTACAAAACGTCATAGAATAGTGCATAAGTACGCGATTTGGGACACACCTATAGTTTTTTAATGTTTTGATATATATCTGAAAGCCTTGAGATATATCTGAAAGCTTAGTGAAGCCTCAAGTTTGTTTAGTTTTAACCTGGGTAAATCTCACATTTTACCCACTTAACAATGAGAAATTGTGTTTTGCAAATCAAAATGATACCTAATTTTGAGTGTTTTTATGACATTATTTTCAAGACGATTAAACACTTTTTACCCACAGATTCTCATTACTCTAATGTCCGTCTCATTATGGCAATACAGTAATGGAAATAATCCTATTTGGACACGACTTTTTAAAAAGTAAATAAATATGTTTTAATAAAACAAATACTGTCATGATTTATATTTATAATTGTACTTTACAGTTTAAAACCCTCATCCGTCCCTCGGGTCATTTTGACCCGAAACTCATTTTTAAAGATTTTTTAAAAATCGAGCGTTGATCGTTATGGTATGAGACTTTGTTACTTTTGTCACACTTGAACCGGGAATACATGGAGGGAAAAAGTCGAGCAGTTTAAGTGGGTGTTATATAAAAAGTGTTAAAAGTGTCCCTCGCGGGCCACTGGAAAAGCATGGAATTTACGAAATTCTTTTTATTTTTTTTAATTTGTCACACTTTAGTATGGAGCACACACAAAAATTTGAGTCGATTCGAGGATTCTGTGTGGGTTTAATAAAAAAAGTAACAAAAGTGTCCCTTGCGGGTCATTTTGACCTGACCATAGGAATTAATGGAATGTCCGGAAAAAAAAACAGCATTTTTTTGTTTATATGATTTTTTTGACTATACAAAATCTGACACAATCCAGAATAGATTCATACCTAAACAAAAGGCTGAGATTGCAGAAAATGTCCCCAATGCACAAAAAACTCACATACCCACACACACAGGCATACACAGACACACACATGGCACACACACTCCCATTGAAACGCATTATAGCATGTTTGATGTTTCTGCTGGGAAATGACTGACATTTAGATTTTTTTTTTACGTAACACAGTTAAATTTGAGTGATGGGGTGGAGACCAATGAGTTTATATCATATCTATATTTTAAAATGTATCTTTTATATTTATGACATATTTATGAAACTATGAATATGCATGTTTGGATTAAAATTCTGTATAAATTTATACCTAATTAGTTTTTAATTAGTTCTTAATTATCAGGGAAATTGTGTCAGCATAAAAAAATGTTTATTATTATGTTCTATTTTATGTTATTTCACTGTATTACTATTTACATTTACAACAGATTTTTTGCATTATAGTAAGGGAAAATATGCTCAATTATAGGAAAATTGTCACAATGTGAAAACATTATTATTTAATGTTATTTAATATTATTTACTATATTATATTACTATTTAAATAATAATTTTTTTCACACTACATATATTTTCCATTACACTAATGAGAACGTAGTGGGTAAAATTTGCATAATTATCAGGAAAATTGTATTATTATTATTTAATTTATCTTTTTTAAATGAGATATTTTCTTGTATTACAGTAATGAGAATTTTGAATGTAAGATGTGCTTCATTATTAGAAAAACTGTCTTGATGCAAAAAAAGAGTAATATTTAATATCAAAATATTATCTGCATGCAAAATATAATTTAATATTTTTTCTTTGTATTTCGGGGTGAAATATGAGCCGGTCAAGCTCTTGACTATTTTAGTGAGATTGATGGTTAGATGGAGCATTGTGAAGACAGCACCCCGCGTCGCTGCTTTAAAACATGCGTTAATTGAGTCTCTAATTGCTCGTGAGCATCTGATGAGATCCAGACCCGAGGACTGAAGTCA